AAAAATAAAAAAACTACAAAAACACACCAAACAAGTTTTCCATACTAAGCTTTTTACTTGTCCTCAAGAAAATAATATTGACAACCATTCAAGAAGAAAAATAAATCTACTCATTTCTTAAATCTTGAAAACATTTGAATCTCATGTTCCTCCAAAACTCTTATAGTTGAAATCCAACCAGAAAATGTGTTTCCCTCAACTTAGAGCCGTACAAAACAAAACATACCCCAAGTTATTCCCCGCATAATCGACACACAACCCTTCTTTCCTAATTCTACTCATCTTTGTCTAAAAATAAGCAAGGCTCTCGGCACCCGGACACCACGATTTTTACATAGTCGTTGAGACGCATATTCGACGTCTGGACAGACAAAGCGGACTAAGAGATTGGAAAGTTAATCACATCTAGACACGCTAGGCGACCTACGCACCCATATGTGAACCGACTAGAATGGTTTAGCTTGGTCATGGTCGGTTCAAGGGAGTTCAGCCCATTGTCGATACATATACGTGTCAGGGAGCTCGCTTAGGCAGCTCAGGGTACATGTAGATACAGTTCAGATAGCTCGAAGGTGGGAGAACCTAGGGAGCTCAGATACTTAATGAGACATCATGACATGTAGGTCCTTAGGGTCGAGGTTGCAGTTGCGACCTAGGTACAACTTACGACAGGTATGTAAGGAGGTTGTGGTTACGACCTTGAGACCTAAGAGTCGTAGGGTAAAAAGGAAAACGATCCTTCATGATGTAAAGTGTATCATACTAAAGAGTCTTAGATCTTGAAGACGTAGTAAGTTAGGAAAGTAGATACGAGATTATATCTTTCTTAAATAGGACTCTCTTAGATGCCAAAATACCCTAAGTACATAACGATAATTACGTTCTTTTACTTAACACATATATGCACACATCATTCTAATTTAGATATACTCCCTCAAGCACATAGTAACTTGATCGTTGGAGTGTCTACGCCGAATCCTCTCTCGTCGCGTTGTAGGTCGTTGGAGCTCCGAGCTGGTGGTAATTCGTGAAGATTCCAGGACGAAGACAATTTGCACGTCATCTTTGTTGATATAAAAAATAAAAAGATATAAGCGCATCTTCAAAATTCTTGAAAATTAAAATTAAAATACGTATTTTTTGTTTAATTTTAAAATTTTAATAATTAATATTCTTGTATTATTATTATTATTATTATTATTATTATTATTATTATTATTATTTATTTTCATTTGAAGGATATAGAATAGAAAGAAATCGAATCTTTTGTTCCTGTCCCCGATCAATGGCATCGTCGGAAAAGCGATGCTTATACGAAGTCCTCGAACTCGGCCTCGACTGCTCAGCTGATGAAATCCGGTCGGCGTACCGGCGGCTGGCGCTTCAGCGCCACCCCGACAAGCTCGTCCGAAGTGGCGTCCCTGAAGCGGAGGCGACGGCCGCCTTTCAGGAGCTCGTCAACGCTTACGAGGTCCTATCCGACCCACGAGAGCGAGCCTGGTACGACTCGCACCGGAACCAAATCCTTTTCTCCTCGACCTCCGCCGCCAGCGGTTCGTCGGGTTTCGTGCCCGATTTGTTTTCATTCTTCTCAAATTCGGTCTATAATGGGTATTCAGACTCGGGGCGGGGTTTCTACAAGGTTTATGGGGATTTGTTTGACAGAATTTATGCCAATGAGTTAAATTTCGCGAAGAAATTAGGGTTGGCATTGCCGAGGGAAGCTCCGGTCATGGGCTGTTTGGAGAGTCCTTATGTTCAGGCAAGATTTGTATTTTCTTTGAATTATTTTGCTAGCCTGTTTCTGGCTGTTGAGAATTCTTTTCAAATGCGGGTAGTAATAAAATGAATTATTGTTTTATGTGGTTTGATCGTCCACATTATTTGTATTGCTTATTCAACTAAAATTATCCCATAGTCCCAGTTTCTTATTGTTTCTGCCAATACGGGACATCTTACTCCTCTCCCTCATCTTGTTCTTGTTTTCCGACAATTTTGACGGTAGTCAAGCATGCCTTTTTGCATTTTTTTTTGGTTTCGTTTCTATTGAATATGTGACAAGCTAGCTCTAAAAATGAACTGAACTGCCTTTAGCCCAAGCTTAGTGAGGTTTAGAATTTATTTAGTGCATTGATATGGATAGTTAAGTTTGATGCCATTGGCCTTTTAGTGATAGGTTGGATTTTAGTATCACTTGATAGTTGATAGTGTGGATTTCAGTCTGTGATTGTTGTAGAAAAGTTATGCACTAGTTTAAGGATATTGAATTGATTGCCCCTTGTCTACCTGTAAGGTGAAGTGCTATCAAAATATGATGTTAGGATGGGTGGAGTGTAAAAATTGTTGTAGTTTATTGTACTAACCTGCTTATTGATATCCTTGTTTCAATATTGTTTGTTTAACTGTTGAAATTTGACTCCGAAGGTCTGAGTTTAAGGCGATGTCTTTTCAGTTTCTCAAGTGGCTGTTGTTAACTCTGGTCTAGGTTCAAACTTTTCACATTTTATGCTTCTTTGCATCTGTAGTCATTCATCATGAAATACTTTAATAATTGCTGTAACATGAGCTCTAGCTCCTTTGACTAAATGTGTTAGCAGAGAGTGTGCTGTTATTGGTAAATCTCAGGATTTGAATAAAGAAGAAGAGTTCTAGCCATATTGGCAAATCTCTATTGATAATATATCAGTTCACTTATATGAAAGATAAAGATTCCTTCTCTTTAGTGTATAAAAGTTCTAATCTTCATGCTGAATCCCCTTTTTCCACAGCAATCTTGTTCTTGATAAAATGATCCACAGAACTACAATTTGTTAATGACTATAACATACTGAGATACCCTAATTCTAATGGGCATGGTCCATACTAACAAAATAAACTTAATAGATCTGGTTCTATAACATAACTATGCTAATAATGTAATCTTTGTGCCATTTTTGGTATAGGTGAAACATACAATTCTGAGAACTAGGAGTTCGCCTTATACTGCCCATAACAGACAATCGCTTACAAACTGGCTATGCAGTTAATTTTAAATACTTTGTTGTCTTGCTAGACTAAATGTAATTCTCTTTTTCTTTGCAGGTCACAGCATTTTATAACTACTGGTTAGGATTTATTACTGTGCTGGACTTCTTTTGGGTGGATGAATATGATGCAATGGCTGGACCAAACAGGAGATCAAGGAGGAAAATGGAGGAGGAGAATAAGAAGTTGAGGAAAAAAGCTAAGAGAGAGTATAATGAGACAGTTAGGGGACTGGCAGAGTTTGTAAAGAAGAGGGATAAGAGAGTAATTGATATGAAATTAAAGAGGAGTGCGGAGATGGAGAGGAAGAGAGAGGAGGAGAGACAGAAAAAGAAAGAGTTGGAGAGAGAGAAAGCAGAGAAAGCTAGAAATTATGAGGAGCCTGAGTGGGCCAAGGTAGAGGCGATTGAAGATGACGAGGTTGAGGATGTGGTGTTGGAGAAGAGAAATGAGTTTTATTGTGTAGTTTGCAGCAAGAAATTCAAGAGCGATAAGCAATGGAGGAACCATGAGCAGTCTAAGAAGCACAAAGAGAAAGTGGCAGAATTGAGGGAAGCATTTAGCGAGGAAGATAAAGAATATGAAGCTGCAACTGAAGGGAACAGAAGTGAAGCAGATGATGAAGACGATGTTGGTTATTTGTCAGCTGATGAGGAGGTAAATGAGTTAGGGGAGCAATTTGAGGGAAATGTTGGTATTCAAGAAAATATCAGTAGTGATGATGGACAGAATGAATCCAGTATGGCAAATAAATTTTCTGTTATTGATGATGATGATGATGACAATAAAAATAGCAATAATGAAGAAAGTGAATTAGATGACAATGAGATGAGCATCCTTGAAGCTATGTTGTCTGAGCATAAAAGCAGGAAGAAGTTGGGCAATTGGCCTAAGGCTCCAGCTAACAAAGGTGAAGATAGCAATGAATTGGAGTTCATGGAGTATAATGACACAAAGGGTTCACGGAGAAATAGAGGTGGCCGGAGGCGGAAGGGTAAAGGTCAAGAAGAAGAAAAAGAACAAGTGGAAACTATGAAAACAAATGTGGCAGAAAAAAGTGGTGTGCCTGAGGAACATGATGAGGAAGTTTATGATGCTGGGGAGCCCAGTTCTCATTCCTTACCAGAATCTGGGACTAAGAGAGCAGATAATAAAACAGAAAGAAGGAATAAACGTTTGCAGAATGCTGCAAAAAAGAAAGATTCAACAAAGAAGGAAAATGTTTCCAAGCAGAAAGCTGCATCAAAAGGAAGAAAAGAAAGGGTAAGTGGTTTTGAAAAGCTTTTTTTGGATATTTGGGTATTGTATGTGTGAATAAGTTCTGCTGGACACCGTTTTGGCTATGATGGCATCATAATTTCTCTAATTAGTGTTGGGAAGTTTATCAAAACTATTTTGACTTGTTTTGGGATGTTGGGGAGAGATGGTATTGGCTAGGGGTATCCACCATTTAAGGACACTATATCCATTATCAAACCCCATTTTAGCCTGTCTCAAACCCTATTAAGAATTTCATCAATCACCTGGTACCCATCCCGAATATATTTCTTGCACTAGTATGCTACCCATACCTTCTCATAACCTGGTTGGTGTTGTTTGAAAAACATGCACAAATTTAAATTCTAAATGACTTTAAATATTGAGAAAAGCTAATAATTAACAGAAAAATGCTTAACTTGCTAAGCTTATAATAAAGTAACACCTGACTAAATTAAAGCCCAACACGTTAAATGCAAAATGTATGCAATGGATTTCCTCAAAGTGCATAATGCAGTAGATATAAAAGGGCTTGGGTAGCGGTTATCTTAGATGGTATACCTGGATGCTCTACTTGAGTTACTAATAGATATTAATTTTGTATCTCTTTCCCATTCCAAACTCGCCAATAACTACCCATCCCTGTTTTGCCAGTTTTCAAGCTTTGCAAAAATGATAAAAAGTTCCTCTTTTTAAGAAGACATCATTCCTTTAGTTACTGAACATAGCTAAGCTCCACTTCAGTAATGTTGATATCGAGATGCTTATCCAATAATTTTTTCTTGACATAACGTTTCGGTTATGACTTCTGAACCATGTCTCTTGTATATTTCTTGATAAGTTACAGGTGGCTACAAATGGTTCTGACAACACGTGTGAGAAGTGCGGAGAACAATTTGAAACAAGGTATTTCTTTTGTTGGTGCTTGCGCTTTAAGATCTCCCCCATTTCACTTGGCAGCTTCCTGAAATCTTTGTTTGTTTGTTTTTTTTTATTTATTATTATTATTATTATTTTTCATGTCCAGGAACAAACTGCATAAACATCTGGGGGAGACTGGACATGCTTCACTAAGATACCAGTGATGTTTTTAACTTTTGTGCATTAAAAAATTGTTATGTTTGTCTCTCTTGAGTGCAAGTGCTTGACTTTGTATTGCTGGCATTATCGCCTGTCATTTTCTGCAAATTAGATGAAACACCAGCATCTTAGGAGCATGTGTTCACCTTCATTCTTGTTGTAGTGAAGTAGCTGTTCGTTCGTTATTGGCCAAAGAAATTTTGTTCTCTGAGTTTTGTATTTTAGGGAAAAGCTCCATAGAATTGGATTGTATATGCACTTATAAGTAGGTGAAGAATATTGCTGCAGCACCAAATATACACCTGATTTGTTATCAATTATCATACCAAGAGGATTTGTTTGTTAGTCTTACATAGTACATCTATTTTTATATACTGTTGCTGAATTGTTACTCCCATTAAGACAAGCAACTGGACTATTGTTTTATTGATGAAATTTTTAAAAAATGTCAACTATAGTTTAGTAGCTTCCAAGGCTTATATTATATGTCCAATGGATGAATGTTCTATGGAGTCCTCTTATTTCGCATTTGGGCAAATAGTATTTTTTTGATAAGTCCCTAACTTATCAATTTTATCACATGCTGAATATCTTAACTCATATATATAAAAGTGTAAACATACATGTGTGTGAGAAGAAAAAAATTAGCACAATGCTTTTACCACGTATAAAAAATCTATCGCTTCAGCCGTGTGCTAGATCCCACGACACTATTCAAATTACTCTACAATTATTTTAATACCATGATGAAATGTATTTAATTACTTATTTGGTTAAATACATTAATTGAATTCATTTATTTTGTTATTAAATTTTGTGTTGTTAAAATTCATTTATGTTTGATTATTATAATCAGTTACAAATTAAAAAATAAAATTAAAATACAAGTTTTATTAAAATTAAAAGATACAACTCAACGATAATAAGAATTATTTACAGTTGAATAGTACTTGCATATTATTTACGAAATAACAGTATTTACTTAATACAATTACTATTCTATGTAATTATACATTTTTTATATCGTTAAGTAATTTGTAATTTTAAATTAATCCAAAACAAAAAAACTAATAAGAGAATATTCCATATAGAGTAAGATGTTAGTAGAGTAGATGGTACATGACATTGCAAGTTACGCCACGTACGAGGATCTCTACGGAGATGCATTTGTGTTCACTCGAATTGATGATATCCATACCACACACAGCACCATCAAAATTCAGAATTCAAAACACTCTTGTTGCTGTCTTTCTTCTCTTGAAAATAGAAAGAGAGAGAATTAATGATGGCTACGGCAGCAAAAGCTTATTCACCCTTTATGATGGCCGCCCAGAAGCCCATCCCTACTCCCACCAAAACTCTCAGCTCTAGAAAGGTCTCTAACTTGTGCTTCCATTTTTTTTTTTTATTTTTTTTTTCGCTTTTCTTCATAATGACTTTCCATATCAGTGAACTCTTTCTTTATGTTTTGCCCAGCAGGGGCAAATTTAGATCTAATTTCTTGTGTGGTGTGAAAATCGTCTGCCAGTTGAGGTTTTATAACTCGATGAGGTGTTACAATGTTTAGTTTAGCTCAGACAGTAATTTTTAAACAAGATCTATATAGGTTGGAATTCACTGTGTACTGTGGCATTCATCGTGACTTGCCGGATTGAAACATTTTTTAGGAGCTGGATGAAATTCTTATGTTGACAAGTTAATTAGGGTAAAAAAATTCTGGTAAACCTTCAACAGAACTTCAAAGCTCTGTTGGAATGTACACAACTTTGTTAATTAAGGTGTTCCAAAAATACAAGTTGTTTGTCCATTTGCAGATGAAATAAATACTCTGTATAACATATGCATGAATAAATTTTTGTCTAACTTGTCCTGCCATATGCAACATCTTGATGCTACATTTGATAATGTTTCTTGTATTAATTTACATACATGCATTTTCCTTCAAAAACATAGAGTACACAAACCGTGAAACTATTGACGCGAGTCGAGCAGCTCCGCCTACTGAGCAAAGCTGAGAAAGCCGGTCTCTTGTCTGCTGCTGAGAGTTTTGGACTATCTCTGTCCACAATCGAGAGGCTTGGGCTCTTATCAAAAGCGGAAGATTTGGGGGTTTTATCAGCCGCTACTGATCCCGGTACACCTACTGCTCTACTTAACCTTAGCCTGGTGCTTCTTGTGGTGGGGCCCGCTTTTGTGTGTGTCGTGCCTGAGGATTACCCTTGGGAAATAGGTTTGCAGGTTATTGTTGCTTTGTTCTCTGTGGTTGGAGGATCTGCTGCTTTTGCTGCGTCAAATCTTGTATCCACTTTGCAGAAATCAAATTAGTTAGACATTTCATTTATTCTTATATTATTTTTGGTGTGTGTGAAGATATTGTTTGAATATGCGGATTAATTTATGAGAACGAAATCCTATTGCTGCCTAGAGTAAGCTCAAGCAATTTTGTTCATATTGTTAAGGAAGATATTGTTTGAAGGGTGGTGACTCTTTTGAAGAGATATTAAGGCCCTATGGAAATGGTGTAACCACCGCTTTTGAACTTTTCATTCCCCAATCTTGAACAATATCTAAGATGCATTTCCTTTGATTTAAGTATGTCCCTTTATGATCTTTGGGAATCACAGGCCACAAAAAATATCTAGCCACCTACCTTGATTGTAAACAAATCAATAAGATATATAGTTTTTAAGCTAGTGAATATCCTCCGAATAACTTCCAGTGCATATGATGTAGGACGTGAATAAGAACGGGATAAAAGAGATACTCTCTCTTCAGAAAACACGCAAGAACAGATATCTATTTCTCAAATTCAACTCCCCTTACGTTTTTTGCCAATAAATAGAGTTCAAGATCTCCTAACTTGTCAAACAAGTAAATAAATATCTCCTAACCAACTAATCAAGATAAATACGGAATAGGAATAATAATAATTATGCAACGTAAATAATTAAGCTAATGCCGGAAGCCGATCGTATTTATTCAGAAAAGCCATCGCGAGCTCGTCTCCATCATCCTCCCCCGGTCGAGAAGGATTCGGTCTCGAATCCGGACCGAGCTCGTCTCCATCGGAATCGATTGCATGCAAAGGAGCCAACTGTGCCACGTGAAAAACGTCTGACAAATGAGCATGAGAGGGCAAGCGAAGACGGTAACAATCTGGAGGAAGCCAATCGAGAACCTCGTAAGGGCCCACTCGTCCGTCCACCGGGGAACCAACCCACACAAAGTCGCCCACATCAAAGACCACAGAACGACTGTCCACTTTTCCAACCAAGTCACCACGTGGACCATCCCGAGAAAGAAACAATGCCGTCGACGTTTGGTGCAAAGGAACCGCACGGGGTGCCGAGGGATGTAAGACAACCCGATTGGCCTCAAACAGAAATCCATACGAGTTAAGGCGCCCATCATGAACCACGACACGATCAAACTGCCATGGACGCCCTAATAAAAGGTGCCAATCATCCATAGGCACGACATCGCACCACACCTCATCCCGATATGCAGAGCCAATCGAGAAAGACACCAACACACGCCTATTAACAGGGACCATGTTGTCACGCCGTATCCACGCAAGAGCATAAGGATCTGGATGCGGCTCCGTTGACAATCCAAGCTTTTCCACAGCCTCGTCAGATATCACGTTCTTGCATGACCCGGAATCAATAACAAAACGGCACACCTGGCCGCCCATGGTGCACGTAGATTCGAAAAGCTGGAGACGCAGGCCCTCATCAGTGAAAATGATGGGCGGGGACAAAAGAGAGCGACGAAGGACAAGCGCGTGTCCCACGTCTTCCGAGACATGCACCTCTGGAACCTCGGGCTCTTTGTCAAAAATAGGAGGGCCATCATATGCCGTAGCTGCCGAATATTCTGGTGTCTCCTCGGCGAACAAAGCACGCGACCCGGTCCCTCTTGGACACGCCGCCTGTCGATGCCCAATCTCACCGCACCCGAAGCACTTGATCCCGCCACCAGTCCGTTGCACACCCGCGGCTGTCGTCTGCCCTCCACTGGTCACATTGCCGCGCCCCATTGCCGGTGTCGAGCCTGAGGACATGCCCGTAGTAGGTGGTCCACGTCCGGATTGCACACCAGCACTCGTAGAAGCATCCGACCGGGAGGAAATCGCAATGGACGGGCCCGCCTTGCGAGCCAACTGTTTCTCAACAACGAGAGCTCGTTGATGTGCATCCGAAACAGATTCCGGGACAACTACATTAAGCACATCTTGGATAGCAACATTCAAACCCCCCACATAACGAGCGACCAACTGGCCCTTCGTCTCGCTTATCTCCACACGAGTTAAGAGGCGATAAAAGTCCTCTGTATACTCGTGAACTGAACGCGGTCCTTGCCGCAAATTATGTAACTGCTGATAAACCACATGATCATAATTATGAGGTAGAAATTCACGTTCTACGTACTTACAGAACTGCATCCAAGTGGAGATCTCTGGCTTTCCCTTACGATGCCGCAAACTCGTGAGTTGCATCCACCATGCCGCCGCTCGTCCACGGAATCGTGTGGCAACAAGCGCGACACGCCTTTCGTCTAGGACCTCCTTAAATTTGAGGACAGACGCAACAACAGCCCACCAATCGAGGAACTCCGCTGCATCCGCTCCTCCCGAAAACTCGGGAATCTCGACCCGAAACCCCAAGTCCCAACGCGGGTCGCCGTGTCCGTCCGTTGGCCGGCGAAAATCACGCCTGTAGAGCCCTTGGCCCGCTTCATCACGGCCAAAATCCGGATATGGCTGCCCGCCGCCATGGAAATCCTGTCCAACACGGCCATATCCCCAGCCGCGACGGTGTAGGTCCTCACTGTCGAGCCCGAGCCCATTTCGATCAAACCATCCACTGCGGCGCTGTTGTCCTCCGTCGTGGAATCCCAAGCCGCCGTCATCAGGGCCCCAGCCGCGATGCCGCTGGTCGTCTGCGTCGAAGCCATCGCCGCGCCGCCGGTCACGACGGTGCTGGTCATCATCCGCAAACCCTCCATCGCGACGGTGCTGTTCGCCCTCTTCGAAGCCGAGCTCATCGCGACGCCAATACTCGTTCCCGTCATGACCTGCTCTGCCTCGAAAGAAACCCCGCTCAAGGCGCCCGATGTCGCCGTCCACAAACCCTCTGTCTCCGCGCCGCCCGCCATGTCCTCCCTGCGCGTGGAATCCTTCAGGCCCACCGCGCTGCTGGTACACATCGGCGAACGGGTTGTTGACAGTTAGGGTTTCCTCAGAACCGTCGTCGCCGGGCGGTGGGAGTGGTGACTGCCGACGGGGCGCCCCGCCATAGCCTCGTCCACCACGACCACCGCGAAACCCTCCGCGCACGCCCCAGTCGCCGGCGTCGCGGTTCGTACGCACCTCCTCCATCATGGTTCTCATGGCCAATCGTATCTCCTCGACCCCTGCAGACAAGTCTGTGAATCGATCGTCCATCCCTTGAATCCGATCGTCCATCCTCTGAAATCGGTCTTCAATGATGTTGTCGTTTGCGTTGTTGACTTTCTTTGGCGGCATCGCGGATCGTCGCTGGTCTCTGGATACCAACTGATGTAGGGCGTGAATAAGAACAGGATAAAAGAGATACTCTCTCTTCAGAAAACACGCAAGAACAGATATCTATTTCTCAAATTCAACTCCCCTTACGTTTTTTGCCAGACAGATAATAAATAGAGTTCAAGATCTCCTAACTTGTCAAACAAGTAAATAAATATCTCCTAACCAACTAATCAAGATAAATACGGAATAGGGATAATAATAATTATGCAACATAAATAATTAAGCTAATGCCGGAAGCCGATCGTATTTATTCAGAAAAGCCATCGCGAGCTCGTCTCCATCAGCATAGCACATCATCAACATAAATGGAAAGTGCTGAAAACAGGTCATCCTTCTTTCTTGTGAACAAACTATAGTCATGTGTGGACTGAATGAATCCATAAGCCATGATTTGATGTTCCATCATTTTGAGGCCTGTTTTATACCACAAATACTTCTTTTCAATAAGCACACTTCTCCTTTTCTTGCTTTTGCATATCCTTTAGGAGGTGTCATATACAGTTCTTAATCTAGGAAAGCATTGTTAATGTAGCTCCAAATTTGTTGTGTAGCAAAAGCTATAAGCAATATCACTGGAACTAGCTTTTCAACTGGAGAAAAGCTATCCAGAAAGCCTACTCCTTTTTAGAGATAATCTTCTGTTTGTATATATAGTGAAAGTTTGGTTTTGGATGTTATTTATACTACTTTTGTTGAATGAGAATCATGTATATTCTGTTGTTTTGCACTTAAATAAAATGGTTAATCACGAATAGATCATTTTATCAGTCACTTGCGAAACATAAATAATTGGTTCACAACCTATATGGAAATGAACAAACCATCGGAACGGCTGTAGTGTCAACTGTACAATGTAGACTAATTAGTTGCACTAGCACACTTGTGTATTAAACGGATCCATAGAGGATGAGTTCGTTTTATACTGATCGTGTAATTATCATTATATATTTTAAATAATCATTGAATGAAAAAGTTAAATGAATCTTTCACTTTTCTAGTTTGTTAGTTAGTGTATATATTTCACATGTCAATGATTTCGGTAAAATTTTAGCTATCTTCCCTTGTTAAATATTTGTATTTGAAATTATTTATATATACCAGGTAACCTTCAATTTTGCTATCCTCTTTTACCAAAATTTTTAGTTTTATTAAAATTGTGATAGGTAAAAAAAATAGTTGAAAATGTTTGGATTCTTTATAAGTACTTATTATGTTGTTTTCGGTTGATCAATTTTCTTTAAAGAACTTTATATATTAGAATTTTAAATATGATTACAATTTTACCATTAAAACCATTTTGGATATAAGGATACAACATAAGCCATTGATGAACATGAAGAAACTACTAACTATGTATGTGAATTAGGACTGAAGAAGATGACTCACTTGTACAAAGAAGAGTGAGGGTGAAATACCCTTAGCTGAGTTGTTCGTACTATGAGTTGATTGTTTTATCCTAACTAATTAACATGACTTATTAACTAATTAACCTAACTAATTTGATTGTGCTAATTAATTTGTTTGTTGGTTTATTAGTTAAAATATCATGATATATTTTAGTCAATTATTGAATGAAAAAGTTTAAATGTTTTAAGTGTTAATAATTAAAATATTACTCAACTTGATATTAACCACCTAATGGTCAGGTGAAGATCCATTAATTTTATTTATTTTAGGAGCAAAATGTTAAGAATTATAATATTACTCACATTGATATTAAATTTATTGGCTTTGAGACCAAAATTGAAAAAAAAAAAAAAAAATAAATAAATAATTGAAGAATTTTTTGGATTAAAATTCAATCCAATAAGACTAAGGTGCAATTTTTAATTTTAATTCTAAATACAAGAGTTTATTTTTCTTAAATAATGAAATAGTTAAATGAATTGTTCCACTTTTCTAGTTTGTTAGATTATGTATATATTTCACATGTGAATGATTTCATTAAAAAATTTAGTTATCTTGTCTTAATTAAAGTTAATTATGCATCTTTGAAATTATTTAATATATACAAGTTACCCCTCAACTAAGTTGTCATTTTTACCAAAAAATTATTATTTGTTAAAATTGTATATAAATAAGTAAATAGGTAAAAATATTTGAATTCTTTATAAGTAATTATTATGCTGTTTTTGTTGGATCGGTTTTCTTTAAACAACTTTTGTATATTAAAATTATTAAAATGATTACGATTGTACCATTAAAGTTATATTAAACATAAGGATATATTATAGAACATATATATTTTTTTTAAGCTCTGTTGTTTGAGTTGATGTTATGTTGATTTGTGGAAGATATGGACGAAAATAATTTGGAAGATATGTGCAAGAAAGCAAATTCATGGCAATAATGATGCGAGAATATTGTGGTTAATTTTTAGAAGATGTGAAAATTTATGTTCTTGTATTTGTATTTAATTAATTAAATATTAATTATTAATTAAAAATATATAATATCATGAGTATTATTGTATTACTAATATGCCATTAAAAATATGTATCTAAACCTGCAGTCAGATAGTCTGAAAACAAGACATGACAAAGCAGGAAAGAGAAGAGAAACGAAAGAATAGCCAACCAACGAAATTCAAACGTGTACTAATACAACACAAACAACATAATTTCCAGCAAAATATATGCATCACAACTCACAAGGAGCTTCCACTCAATAAGTAAAACCATATTGTCCAACTGCACGACATAATATCCGAATGCAGAGATCAAACTAGGGCTTACCTATTCAGCAGCAGACATCACACTTTTTGCAACAAAATGAACTTAGAACTGCAGAACTAAAACATAGACTTCTCAAAGCCATTGTTGAGAGGCTTAAATACTTTGTTTGAAATCACTTTCTTTGACTTCTATATGTAAAAACGAGTAATAATTATGATACGATGTAAAAGACCCATTTGCCAGAAATAAATTAAAAGCTCAACAACATTCAGAAACAAAAGATTATATCTAGCATGGAACGTGAATGCAGATGGGAAGGAAAAAGAAAAGAAAAAAAAAAAAGCAAAACTCCTGTCTGTTTAAGACAAAATAGGTTTTCTGAGGGATAACACGACAAGAACAGAAAGCGCCACTCATTTTTCAAGAAGCATCCTGTTCGCTTTGGCGTGGGGGTGTGGAGCTGGCTTCAATAACGTTAAGGTAGAAACCCCAAGACAGATTCTTTTCTGTTATAGCTCTCTGCCCAAAGGGGTTTTGCTTTACATACTCTTGAACATTCTCAACCATGGCTAACCCTTCCAAGTAAACACGGAGATCGCCTCCAGGCCCTGTAGATATAAAAACGAGTCAATTAGTTTACAGTGAGTTGTTGATACACAAAGGAAAATAAAAGGTCAAAAAAACATAACAACGATAGTCACAAATGTAAATTGCAATAAGTGATCCATATGATTGCAGATTGCAGATTGATCTAGCAAAATGCCACTCTGTAACTTTAACACAATCCTGCCTTCACATGCTTCCTCCCTCCAAAATAAACCATTGGTATCAAATTCTAAAAGCATCGCTTTTTTATGATAAACATGCATCAATGTTATTTTTTTTTACACCAAATTCATTAACCCCCATACCATCTATGAATATGTTAATAAAAAGCATCTGCTCCAGATGCTACAGCTAAAATTTGTTCCCTATGAGTGGCAATAACCAGAAACACCACTTAATCAGCATTTATCTTAAGTACATATGTTTCAACAAGGCTTAATAGGAAGTAGATACTAATTCTCCGATCAAGCGGAGATATCTAGAAGCATATGTTCAGACACTCTTTCACAGACAAGGAGTATTAGGGCATGCTTGTTTATGAAATAATTCATTTCACACTCAAAATCTAACTCAACTTTAACTCAACCCCACTATCATTTATATTATTTATATAATTAAATATTATAAACCAATCATTCTTACATATCACATCAACTTTAATTCACTATTCATCCACTCACATAATTTTAACTACCTATCATTTCCAATCATTTCCAATCATTTATATCTTACTTTTACATCAAATCATTAATAATCATTTTATTTTAAATATTATTTTAATATATTATTAAAATCCCACTAACAATTAACCATACTACCTTTTTCAAAATTAACTCTAGTTAACTAAAATAACTCATTTTGAATGAAATATTTCATAAACAAGCACACCCTTAGCGATACAATTAAGCTTAGGAAAAGCAAGAGGGAAGGATAACACACCACATGATGCCACAAAATAATGAATTAGAAGTAGTAATTGACTACCTGTAACAACAAAGCACTAAGTGTTGGTGATAGATTCGGCCACACGCACGCGCAGTTACCCGTGGGCCGGTTGGCCGACAGGTCGGCTCCGGCTCGGGCACGAGCCTGGGCCTTGGGCCTTAGTCCTTAGCAATTAGACTATGGGCTGGACTTGGGCGACCTCGAATAGTTTGGGTCGGTGTTGGGCTTGGGCCTTGGGTCTAGCCCCTTTAATCTTTTTGCTGCAAATTTATTTGCAAAATTGTGGCATCTCCTACTAGTTGGAAGTCTTATAAATAAGACATGTAATGTAGAGCTGCATAAGACATAAGATAACATCATTTGTATTTCCCTCTCTCAAAAGCCTCATGCATCATATCACAAGTGTGCTCAGTTCTCGACGCCGGAGCTCGAAAGTCTAGTGTGCTACATTCTTCTAGACATTGTCGTTGTATCTTTGGGGACAAGACGCACAAACCCGTCAACTCTTTACGGGGCGAGACGTATTTGTCTTGCGAAAAGAGATTTCTCGCCTTGGTTTTTTGCATCAACATTTTCTTGTATTATTTTCTATTTTTAGTTCAAGTTGTAAGAGTTGTTTATCATTCAATTCATAAGCTCCCCGTGTAATTCAAAACTCATTTTGTAACAACCGCAAGGCGAATATCTGTACCTACTGAACTGCTCAACAACCTCCTCAACAACCAATCAACAATGTTGTTCTTTATCATAATCCCATACCTGCTATCTATGTACCAACTATGTACCAACTGCTGAAAAATCTAGGAAATTCAAGGGCTTAATTTCAAGAGGAGGCAGCAGAAGATGCACTTTTACCAAACTATCTTGGATATCTTGGATTCAGATGGTTTGGTGAAGTACATGGAGGAAAAAACCCCTCTGGTTGGTGAAAATGAGACCAACGTTGAACTACGCGTTGTGTACGATGCTTGGAGGCAAGATGACTACCTTTGTCGTAACTATGTCCTGGAAGAACTTAGGGCATGATTAAAATATCCAAACAAGATAATTTTTTTAACTCAAAATCTAACTCAATTTAACTCGTATCAACTCTCCTCATTTATCAACATAATTGAAACTAATCAATCATCCTCACACATCACATCAATTTCTATTCACTTCCAATCATCTCTCCCACTTTTACATCACATAACTTTTAATCATTATATTTTAAATATTGTTTTAATACAAACTCAAAATCTCGCACAAACCAAACTTAATCAATTTTTTTCAACAACAACAACATACCCAGTATAAACTCAATCAATTTTTTTCAATCAATTTTTTTCAAAATTAACTCATTTTATCCAATAAATCCAATCAAATCCAAAATAACTTATATTCAATCAGGCCCTTATTAATAAGTTGTACAATGTGTACAACTTCATCAGTTCTGCCAAAGAGCTTTGGGCTGCTTTAGAGAATAAGTACAAAACTGAAGATGACAGGGTGAAGAAATTTGTCGTCGGAATGTTTCTTGACTTCAAGATGGTCGACTCCAAGACCGCCGTGTCTCAAGTGTAAGAGTTTCAACTGACCTTGCACGACATCCAAGATGAAGGAATACTTTGAGCGAATCGTTCTAAGTTGCGATTGTGATCAAGAAGTTATCGTTAGGTTAGAAAGACTTCAAAAAATGCCTCAAGCATAAGAAAATGAAAGCTCGTGCCAACTTGCTGGACCAAGACAATTCGAACAAGAGAAAGTCCCTTTTGAATAACAAGGGTAAGCAGTCTGCCAAAGTTTGGAAATTTACCGACATCTGCCACAAATGTGGAAAGTTAAACCATATGGCTAAAGAATGGAAGAAGCCTAAGAAGGTTAGGCCGAAGAGGGTGCAATCGAGTGCCCATATTGTTGAACATGTCCCAGTGTCGGGTGAACTAACCGACTTTGACAAATTCGTTGGGTGTTTGGAGTCAATATGGTGGATAACCCAAGGAAGTGGTACATTGATACTAGTGTCACTTGCCATTTCTGTTCTGACAAGGAGTTGTTTTCAAACTACACTCCTACTGGTTAGAAACTTCACATGGGCAACTCTTCCTCGTCTGATATGGCTGGAGTTGGCACCATGATGCTGAAGCTAACTTGTGGAAACGAGTTTAAGCTTAAGAATGTTCTGGTAATCTATTTTAGTTGTTCACATGGGCAACTATTCATGGTTGATTTTTGAATTGGTAATCTATTTTAGTTGTTCACTGGTTGTTTTTTATTTTGTTCGCCTTGTAAAAACTGGTTGGAAGTATTGTGGGAATGACAATATGTTGTTTTGATATTGTTATGGAAATATTTAGTTGTGATATTGTTATGGAGGTATTATTTTTTGTACACATGAGAGAGGTAGAGGTCGGCCTAAACTCACTTGGGAAGAGTCGGTTAAGAGAGACCTTAAAGATTGGAATATCTCCAAGGATTTAGCGGTGGATAGGAGCGCTTGGAGGCTCGCTATCAACGTGCCAGAACCGTGACTTTTGCTCCTTTCTCTCTCTCGTTTTTTTTTTTCAATCTCTTCCTTTCGGTTCGAGTCTTTTTGTGTTTCTCTTGGGTTTCATCTCTAGCCTACCCCGACTTGTTTGGGACTAAAAGCTATGTTGTTGTTGTTGTTGTTGTACACATGTTGGAATGGGAGTATTGTTCATGAGTAGATATACACAACTATCAGATAATAATTTTTCAGAGTTATGTGTATGTGTTAAGTTAACCTGAAGATTTAATTGTGTTAAGTATACTAGACTGCATTTTATGTTTTTATGCTTGTGATTATGTCATTTTAACAGTGGACATGTTGAACTGTCAAAACATAAGCCCTATCTTCTCTAATCAGTCTTGTTGGAAGCATAAAGCAGGTCAACGTCTTACATTCAAAACAAAGACATGAGCACACACCTATTCCAAGATCAACATGATCAACCAAAAGAGTTTAAACAGCCAAAAGAGTTTGATCAACCAAAAGAATTTGAACAACACACGTTGAACGTTAAGTTCTTACATCACATCAGAGTTTGAACCTAAACCCTAATGCCAATAGAGATCAACCAATCAGAAAGCTTAAAAAACACTACAACATGTAATATATTATCAACCAAGAGATCATAATTACAATCTACATCCAACAATTTCGAGCACTCTTCCTCTTCAAGCGCAATTCAATTGTAGCCCTTTCTTTCATAATAGTTTCAATACATGCTCCAAGCCTCTCTCATATCTGATTGAAGCTTCTTTACATCAAATTCTAACCTCATCAAGTTTGGTTCAAGAATTTGAGCTTCACTTTCAAATTTGTTGGCACGTTTCAAAAGCCCTAGAATGATCTCACGAGCTCTAGGGCCTAGTGCACAATGGTGATTCAATCCACGAAAAATATAAACCACCATCGTCCAACAAAATTAAGTGAAAAAAACAAATTAATTTCAGGACCTCTAAGGTTTACTGAATTCGCCCAAATTTAGAAATTAATTAACCTAATTAATCACTTCGATTTTTTGTGCAATAAACGTATCTCCTTCCTAGATTTAGGGCACTCTACGATGTTTCCGTAACAACATTGATCCTACAATTGCATAGTTGGCCCATCGCCTCTGCCATTTGTCTCCAAGCCATTTCCGCGAGAAGAAATGATAAAACAGGTATATCGCGTGCGTCTTTTATTTAATAATCTACTCGGACGATGAAATGACCAAATTATCCTTCAAACATAAGGTTAAATGACAATTTTTCCCTCAAGTTTTGAGCGTGCGACAATATTACCCTCAAGTTTCGAGCGTGCGACTTGCATGCTCGCTTTTCGGTGAAAAATGGACCGCTGATGGTCGAAGGTTGCAATATAGACAAATTTTGTATTAAATGTTGCAATTTAGTACAAAAAAATTCTTTAGGTTACAAATCCCAAATTCGTTTATAGTACAGGTTGCAAATTTTTATTTACCCGTGATTCTGAGCAGTATCCAAAACTTGTGGAGAAGTTAAATTATCTCATGATCACACCTCCAGCTTTTGCAATTAGTTGTGGGGAGTCTATTTACGTTTGCTCAGGCGGACACTGATTAGGCTCTTCTTGAGCAAAATTTGTGTTCTCGAAAGGCAGCTCCACGACGTAGATTATTTATGAGCATTGTTCCACTAGGATGTTAGCTGCCAATTGCAAAGATTATAGGAGGTCGATTTCATGGTACAAGATCTATGTGGAAGATAATAGTCTTGTGGAAAAGAAATAAACAAATAGTTGTTTCTCATCTGGTTGTTGAGGTAGATACATGTCTGGCTGGTTTGGTTTGCAAGGTCGTCTAAGTAAGTAAATCAGCTGCTTAAGGGTTATAGCCCAATCGTCAAGCAAAACTTTGGTCATTGGTGTAACAACCAAGAGGTAACACATGCACCGTGCACGAACCTTTCCTAGGCCCTACGACCATGTCTAGTTGGGTCACTCCTTGATTTGTTCAGAACGAGGCTTGACGGACATCTTTTTCATCCCGTCACTTAGCTCAAGTTTAAGACCTAACCGTGAGGCCAGCGCTTCGTTCATGAAGGAATGCATGGCTTCGATGTCCACCATGGCCATTACTTGTTTATCCTTCACGGCCACCTTCACAAACATCAAACCCGAGCATGCGGGTTCTCCTTAGACACTTACTTTGTTCAGCGTGCGATGCCGAAGAAGAAACATACCATGCGGGTCGCGGCCATGCGAGTCGAGGAAGACTTGGGGCAGGCCAAAGTTCTTTACCTTGGTGCATCAACTATGTACCATTCGGAGGAGTCGGATGCTTGTTGTACTGAATGATTGTCATTTTGTTCTTGATAAAGTAGAAGAAGGGGTCATTTATATAAATTAGATCAAAAGACCAATTTGAACACGTATGCACTAAAGTAGTAAACGGGGTACGTTGGGCATTATTGATATATATGCTCAAGCTAGTGTTGATATATATTGTATAGATTAGGGTATCAATTAGTCATATAATTGTAATCTATATAATTGTAATCTCATAGATTAGGCCCATTGATATGTTTTCCATTTTAGTTTGCTCTTAAACTTGTATTTAAGTGATTGTATATTGTACTTTGGAAGATATACCAAATAAATTAGTTCATTTCTCCCTAACACCTACAATACCACTAACAGATTAAGAATCAATGTTTCTTCATAGGAAATCTCGATTCGATTGAGCTATGCTTTGTTACTAGCATTGCTTTCTAACTAATTGAGTAACGAGCCTCGAAATCCGATGCAAGGAATAATAAACGGCAAGACTTGTATATAAGTCATTGTATATTGTACTCTTGAAGATATATTGAATACATTAGTTCATTTCTCTACGATATCATAAACACATTAAAAATCAATGTTTCTTCATAATAAATCCCAGTTAGATTGAACTATGCTCTGTTAAGCATTGCCTCTAACTAAATGAGTAACGATCCTCAAAATCAGATACCAGGAATAATAAATGGTGAAGGCATTCACAGGGGAAGGTCCCAAGGTTCTACTCTTTTACGAAGTTTTGGAATGCGCTAATTCATCATATCATGTTAGAAAACATTCAGAATTATAAACTATATCAAGACTCAGATGGAAGGGTAGAACTTGATTTAGTACAGGAACACACAAATAAATGGATAAAGAAATTCCTTTAATTCTTCAACATAATAGGCTCTTTAAGTATCATAACATTATATAGTTAAAACTATTATTTATTTTTTTTGAAAAAAAAGATCTCGAAATGTTCAAGATGTGGCAAGTTAACAATGCAAAAAACCTTACCATATACAGGGACATGCTTGAGTTTTAGAAATAGACAATCCAGGCTCAATTTTATTCCTACTTCCATCTCCATATCATAATTTCAACATAAAGAAGAATGCATTGATTATATTCCCTATTAACATTTTAAACAATCTTATGTAAATTGCAATTATTAATTGATTGTGGTGTCTATTTTCTATTTCAAACATTTCATTCAAGAAATAAAACAATCAGAACGCATAACCAATTAACGAAACCGATGCAGATGCACCATGCAGGAAGTCACATATTCAAGAATAAACAGACACTATAAGTTGATGTTGGATTGAAGAAGCTCATTTTAAATCGCAGGAAATAAAATCAAAGCATGAAATCCTGGAATTGAGTTTCACTAGTAGAGTGACAATTCATGACATTTAGAAGGATAGCTGACCTAAGGAATTGTCTCGAACGTTTCTGAACCGGTACGTGTGGGGAAAGACTGCATTATACCGCTGAAAACATTTATGCAAAAAACTTTTAGTTTTCATAAGTGAAATGTCATCCGAATTGTGTGTAGGATCATGAAACTTCCTAGCCACAATAAAAGAAAGATTGTCAAAGTAACATCCAGCGTCAACAAAAGAATGTGAAAACTCACAGGGTTGGTTAAGGACTTAGAAGGAGTATCATCTAACAAAAGTGTATTTGATTCATTATATACACCCCTCTCCCATGGAAGATCAGGCTCACACTTATCCCACAATTTCTTAAGTTTCTTCAACAGAAGAGGCCTGTTCCTCTTTTCGACAGTGGTAAAACCCGTATCAGTACAATGTGATTGATCCTGAAAAAAGAAAGCAGTAATAAACAGCAAAATGTTCAAGTGAAACAGAAAAGGAAGGGAAAAAAAAAGAAGAGAAGAAGAAGAGACAAGGTTCTTTCAAGGAAAAACGAACAACACGCCTTTCGTGAAGTGCAAGTTTCTCTCACGGAAAAACAGACAACACACCTTTTCGTGAAGTGTGTATTGTTTACTACAGAAGAATAACATTCACAATTCTATGCTGTATAAGATTCACAATAATATACTTTCTGACAAGATCAACCTACATTTGATTGGTAGATATGAGTGATGCGACGAATGATCAAATATCTATGTCACCCATAAGTGCAAAAACTTATCCATCATGGTCCTAAAATATGTCTGTTGCGAATATAACACTTCACAGATGGCTAGGAAAATTATACAATATCAACAGTGAAGAAGGTTGTCAACGGGGCTAGATTCCTCATGTAAGATATGACAATGAAGTAATTGCTGCCTAAACATGTTAGGGAAAACGAGAATGCTGCGTACCATAACAATACAGCACTTACCCAAAAAAACAGCAACCTGCTCTTATCATTCCCTAAAAGAAAATCAAGAATTGGCTCCATATTTCGTCTGCAAAAGTTTCATCAGACGGAATAGATCACTGTTCTTCCAAAGACGAGAANACCCACATTAAACCTCTCAAAGCAGAATTTGAGAAAATCGTCACAGTAGGGCCTCTTAAAAACTGATCAGAAATTAGAAATGACGTCAAGAAAATTGCTGGGAAGAAATTATTAGCATACTTAACATTGTAGTTCTTTTCTTCACCTGCTTTCCTCAGTATTATATCATCCGGATCGTAATCGTAAGGTACATAAGGAGAAATATCAACAAGTAAGCCATTCACATCAAGAACAAGAAGCTTCTTCTCTGTACAGCTGGAAACTGCTTTCTCGACTGCCACAGTTATGCATTTATGTGTAATTAGAGAACCAACAGCTCCTAAATCATCCAACTGTTTCAAAGAGACATTATCATATTTCACAGATTGTTCTTCAGGGTGTAATGAAGTACTCCCACCTGATGCCTCTCCAGAGGAGATACTTGGGAAACTACTAATATTTTCATTTTCCAGCACTGCTTTACCGAGATAAAAATTACGAACAATCCTGGCCCCATAATGGACTTCTTCCAGGAGGTTCTTTGAGTTATGAGCATCACATGAATTTTTATTTGTTATTTTACTACCACTAGATTCAGAAAAACCTGGCTCCATTTCGTTCAAAGGTGGAGAAACATAATTAAAATGAGCATCACCAGAAACTGGCATAGAGATTTTATCATTTTTGGTTGTCTCACGTACTATGGCACATCCAGCACTACATTTCAGCTGCATAGTTGAGAGCTTATCAGCATCAAAAGTTTCAACCACATTTTCCTTCGTCTTCTCAGTGTTGTCATTATTCGATAAGGTACCATGAAAACCCAAAACACAATCTGAATCTTGCTCCAACAACTTACTAGTAGAAACATTCTCCACCGAGATCCTGTCTTCAGCTGTCAAGTTCTCACTAGTACTTTGATGGCAGAAAGATTCCACTTTCGTCGATTCAATTTCAATAGGCAAGTCCAAACAAGTATCCTCATCGGTAATCTCTAAATCATTTGTCGGTATATCAGATGGCTGTGTTGTTTTCAGTCTTTTCTTCTGCCGGTTAGTATCTATGCTCTTGGGATCTTCGTTAATTTCACTTGCACCACCAATGTTGTCCTTTTTCTGCATCAGACTAATATTAACATCACAACTTAATAATTCAGCTCCTTCTTTTACCGAGGCAACATATAATTCAACCATAGACTGCATGCTTATTTCACTTGAGCTAGGATCATTATTTTCAACACAATCGCCATCCTTTGTTTGATCACCTTTCATATTTATATCCACAGGGAAGCACACACCTGGATAATCAAGCAGCATATTTAACCTCAAAAGCATGTAAATTGGATAATATAAAATGGGTGGACCACTACGTAAATATTAAAGCACAGCAAGAGAGATGTATCCAAAAATTTACTCACCTCTATCAGACACTTCATTCATTTTTTATTTTCACTATGATGAGAACTCAACCAGGATGTGGAGACCTTGACTTACAGTTACTTTTTCACCTTAATTCCATCTTGAACAGACAGAATCTAAAATTTCCTTATAAATGATAACTCGCTTCTTTTTTCACTTTACCGAGAATCAACAGGGAGCCCTTATGATAGAACTGCAATAAGAAGACTAGCATCATTAATTTGCCCCTTTATTCCATCATAGAAAACAACACAAAAATGTATAGAAAGTGAAAATAGTTGAAACAAACAACGATCATATTACACATTCTTGAGCACCAGGATTTACGATACACCTTGTCATGCTTCATAGTAATTAAGTTAAAAATAGCTCCATAGTAATCAAGTTAAATAAATCAGCAACACACCACACGGATACCCATCACAACAGAGTGAAGTAAATGTATATTAAAATAGGGAATTTTAAGCTCAAAAAGAATATGTATTGGAAGAGCAAAAAATGCAAAATGCTACCGCCCAACTAATTTTGTGAGTTCCTCCAATTGCTATTCTTTCATTGAACTGCCACTAGAAATCTATTTCAGCATTTTTACACTACACCTTAAAAAACAATGGCAGCTGACAAAAGAATCATAAGATGTTCCAAGAAATGACGGCCATACAAGTGAAAAATAATATACCAGCCTATGAACTGCTTCGAGTAAACCTAGCAGGGAACCATGAAAAAAAAAATATAACGAGTTAACAAGGGGCAGAGACTTTAAAAGCACCGAACAAAATTCAGCTCAAACTGCAAAATGAGATAAACAGTAAATACCTAGGAAGAGAAATCGCCTAATGTAGCAGCAATTCCACAGAATGTTAGCAGATATACAATCGCAGCAATTCCACCGAATGTTAGCAGATTTACAATCGGCAACTATAATAGCATTGGAGAGAGAGAGAGAGAGAGAGGGTCAATGAGTTTTGAAGACTGAATAGTAGGATCCTCAACACGGTATGTTATACACTACAATGGGTCGAGTACCAAAGGAAGTTGTTCAATGACAACATATGCCCTTTCCCTCTTTGTGCAGTCTGTAAAGAAGCTATTGCAAAACCCAGGTCTCTTGGTTTTCCTTTCCTTTGTT